ATTAACATGCTGTAATACACAGTTCAAAATTAAAGGCTCAAATGCTGTACATGAGAGGTTAAGCTCCCCCTGGCGGTTTTACAAGGCGACGCCGGATAGTTAGCCACATGACACACGTGAACTGCGTGATACCGCGACACGCCCACCGGGGTATGCCGCGAAATACCTCACCCATTTTGAATGGCTGCATCTGTATTAGTTTTGAATTACAGCTTTTACAAGTTGTCACGAACTGCATTCCTACGAGCACCTCTCACCGCTAAGACCCACGCACAAATTAATCAATCGTCATTCCTCACGCTCTTCCCTATTTATAAACTCTTACTCCACTCAGTTCCCGCTCACTATTGAGAAGTACAGTATTCTTCGGCTTTCTCTGGTGTGTGCGTCTACTAGTTCTAGTTTATCGACTTAGATTTTTGCCTCTTTCTTTTGGATTTGGTTGTTTATCGGTTCCAGTCATCCTCACGATCAGCGCTGCATACCAACCTGGTGCTCCTAATGCCATCTCTGACACAGGTCATTTTTTAAATTTTAAAACAAGTAAATCATTTAAGAAAAAATACTGAAAAATCAGGATACCCATTAGCTTTGGTTGATGTTGTTTGACATACCTGTTAAAAAGTAATGAAGAACGTGTTGTTAAATTGATCTATAGTGCCAAGACAATGTTTGTGAATCTCATAAGTAAGTTTTTTTCTCGAATATTTTAGACCTGTGTAAACATGTACTGTAACAAAGGTAAAAAATATATTGGGTGACTGAACAAAATAAGGAATCTTAAAGAATACTGTATATACTTGTGTTAAAAAAATTGTAAACCCTTAGATTTAGGAAATGGTGGCTCCTCTTTGAGCAGCAATGAAGTCAACTGCACAGTTTCTGTAACATTTTATCAGTATCTCACGTGTGTTTTTAGGAATTTTGGCTCATTCTTTACTCACAGCCCTGCTTCAACTTTGTGACATTTGAGTGTTTTCTTGCATGCAGTTTTCTTAATAATATTACAACGGGGTTCACGCCTGGACTTTGACTAGATCAGTTCCAAATATGAAATTTCTTCTTCAGCTATTCAGCTGTATTTCTGTACAAATATTGAGGATCATTGTCTTGCTGTAAAACACTTTTCAGCTCAACTGACAAATGGATGGCCTTACATTCTTTCTAGAATTTTCTTATACAACACCAAATTCATGTTTCTGTGAAGGATGGCAAGTGTCTACCACCACACCATGCTAGACAATCGGGGTGAGGTTCTTCTATTTGCAAGACAGTATTTTATTTTTGCTGTACCAAACATTTCTTTGTCCAGACAAAATCATTCCAGTTGTTCCAGTCTTGTGGATCATCCAGTTGATCATTGGTAAATGAGATGGATGGCATTGTTCTTTTTAGAGAGCAATGGTTTCTTCTTGGCTATCTTCACATGAAAACCATTTTTTTTCTTGATGGTTGAGGCATGAAACCTGACGTTACCCATGGTGAAAAATCCCACATGTCTTCAGATGTTATTTTGAAATTCTTTATGACTTCCTGGATTTTCTGGATTGCACCTGGTGAAGTCTTGGCAAGACAATAAATACCGATTAGAGTAAAAATGTTTTTGTTTTTATATTTTCTATTTAAAAGACTGTCCAAACATAGTCTATATTTACTATACCAAATTAACCACCTTATTCCAATGATCCCTTTATTTGTGAGAAATAAACTAGAGGTTCACTTATTATTTCACATTCACTTATTTATTTTCTTTCTACTTCATAAACCATTGCATCTTAAAACATTTTTCTCTTTTTAAGTAAAGAACGGTTTTGTTTGAACAAGGATACTGGGATAAGATATGATAATTCCTGTAATATTGGGGTTTCTTAAACTTTTTCTTAGCACTGTATTATTTTAAAAACATGCAGCTCAGAAATAAATTCCATATGTTTATTGGTGTGTGTATTCACAGTCAGTAGACTGGTATTGTAGTTTTGACGTTGTTCGAAAAACATTCTTTTGGCACATTATAAAAGGCAAATTATAAAACACTTTCACTTTCTATTTCGGCACATTGATTGGACTTTGTAATGATTCTCTGAAGTAAAGAAAACATTGTTCAATAAACAGCTTTGGAAAACAAGTAATTATTTTCTAAATCTATTTGTTGAACAATATTGCCTTTACTTCAGGAAATTTAGGAAAGGAAGAATATCATATATGCCTTCTTATTCACACTGCAAATCACACCACAAAAGCAAAAGTACTAGGCAGCCATAAAGTCATTGTTTCCCTGATTGACTGCATCCTACAGAATCCTATCAGTCCTCATTCAGCTGCACTCTGTCATTTGTATAATCCAGGTAATTTGATTTATGATGTAACCCAAACCAAAGACAGATTTCTATACTATTGGGGTCTACATGTTTTCCGATGGAGTATGATTACAGGTTGAACTTCCCAGACAGCTTAATTTAATTTATATATTGTAATAAATAACATACAGTAAGGTGATCAACCATTGTCCTTTTCCCTCAGTAAGTCTGTCCGTACTACAAATCATCACAATAATGTTTACGTCTGGGACACTTTGTGACCACATCAGTTTAGCCATCTCAACAAACTGATGCTAATGTTTGCTTTTAGTGGTTTCCATAAATAGGATTAGGCTTCAGAGAAAATAAACCCCAGGAAAGGCTTTACATTCACTTTTTTTTTGTTTGTGAAGTCAATTTGAGTGGATTTAGGTTTTAGATAACCAAAGCAAGATGAAAACAGACTGTCTATAATGAACATTACAAACAACAGTATATCTTTCATTGTTAGTACAATAAAAATATAGTAGCACAGACCTTTGAAACGTGAATTTTTTTTCTATGCCCCAAGACATTATCACCACTGTTCCTTTCACTTCCACATTTAATTATATTTACACCAAATGCACAGTACTTTTGTATATACAATAGTTTAACTTGTGTGCCATCTAATGAATTGGCATTTCAGCCAGGGTTTATTCCTGTTACACTGGGGTGTCTGGGTTATGGTCCAAGTCAGTGTAACCCTTTAAGGATAAATCAGTTACTGAAAATAGATATTTGAAAAGTGACAGACCCCAGCTTTCAACAAAATGTCTTTAGGGATCCGAACATGTCAGCAATAATGGCAGACCTCTGTCCTACACCCAACATGCTCACCACAACCATACACACTTTTTAACCCATCACTAATAATCTAAACAATTAACTTCGATCCAGTGCACCAATTTAAAGGTGACAGAGTCCTCTACTGGCAGGTTAGCTGATTATACCAACTTTCAATAGTACAGCCTGCTACATTACCTTTTGGAAAAAATACACATTATTTTCTGTATATCTCTTTTTACAAAAATGAACTATGAACTCTGATAGTAGCCAACCATGGTATGACAACCATATAATAAAATTTTAAAAAGTATTATAAAAGTATATTTTATTTTCTGTCTTTGGCATGAAATATGGGTGGAAAAAACAGTAAATATATCAGTAGGGTGCCAAATTTATTGTACACGAAATGAATGTAACCATGGGAAAAACAACAAAATCCCAATGAAATGAGCACTGAGTCAGAAGGAAAACCACAAACATAACAGGCTGTAATGTTTAATTATTTAGATTCAATTACATTGGGGAGCCATAAGAAATTAATGCTTCAGCTCAAAGGTTTTTGTAAAAGGATGTGCAGTGATTACATTTATGTGCAGATGTTTTCTAACAATATTGTACGTCTTGTTTCATGTGTTTACATTTTACAATTTTTATATTAAAACTAATATGTTTTGGAACTTTGGATATCATTTTGTTTTCAGTGAAGAACACCAGAACAGTAACAAAATAGCCAAGAGCGTTTTATGATATTTATGTTAATGAACCTCTTATACTGCAGAGTGGTTAATCCAGTCAAACGTTTCAACTCTTAATAAGCATACAATTTTGAGATTTCAACATTGAGTCCAGGCTTTGCTGCATAGCAACTGCAGTTGGGTTCCCAGTGGCAGTATACTTACAACAATACCTGATTTCTGCCAGGATTTGGAAGAGTGGAACTGGCTGAAGACATAATACTTGCCATGAAAAAGTGACACTTGTCAAGGATCAGTGAGATCATGTTTCCATGGTGTTCAGCCTCTGATTGGCTTTAGTAATACATGTATGTTCAAGAACCACTTATGGAAAGTAAAGGTCAGTATTTTAATACATAAAGCAGTCAACATGGTGTAAAAAGGTAACATTTGTAGGGTAAACTGCAAATAGCACATTCAATAATATCTTCTCTTGTAGGTCTTTAATGGGGAAAAATAATCATATCTGTTCTTCATTTATTTGTTCATGACTAAACAAATCTTTACATCTTTGATAAATGAAACTTGAACTACATTATAAAAATGTGATACTTGGAAATTAAAAAAAAAATTCAAGACCAGTACAGAAAATGCACTTCATTAAGCACAAAACACAACCTGTGGCCCAATTAACAATCCCTGTCAGCATATATTTCTAAAAGTACAAATAAATTGGGTAAATCAAAGACAGCTGATTATCTGGGGGATTCATTTTCCTCAGATTTCCTGTTGGAATTTCAAAGAGTCATTAACTGTAAGCATGACACTCAGTTTGCTTTTGCTCTTTAGAAAATCTGGAAGATTAGATCTATTTTTAAAAGGGTGTTTTTATACAAGGAAAAATAAATAAATGTCACGTTACTCATTATCCACCCTTATAGCTGCAAGCAGACAACAAAAGAAGGATCATTTTATTAAGAGGGGTTTTTAATAAAAACAATTTCAAGCTTCTCATCTCAATTCAAATTCCTTTTGGCTTGATGGTCGTTGACAGATGTCAGCACTGCTTAGGTTTATCTGGAAAACTAGCTTGTCTATACAGTATGTACTCTAAAGCTAGCTGTTCTAGATGAACATGATATCATATACAGTAGCTTGCTTATGTATTTATCTTTAACTACCCTTGTTATTGCTTCTGGTAAGTGTGGTGTTAAGCAAGGGTTCTATCTTAAGCTTAAGTAAAAATGTATTCATGTTTGCATTAAATGAAATTAAAGAAAAATCTTTAATGGACTTTAAAGTTTTTATTTTTTTTTTCTAGACAACATTGGCACATTTATGATATTATTTGAAGTTGTATATCTTCTTTTGAAGTTAATGACTGGTGTTTCCTTTTTTTGCGTAATACAAGGACACCATGTCTCATGGGAATTCCAGAGTTTTACACAAGGATCAGTATCTGGGGGTGAATTCAGTAAGTTGTAATTTTTAGAGTGTAGTTTCTTTGACTTAATGCATGTTGTTTGGCCTCAGCTGAGTGAATGTTGTATCAACCTGAGAGCTCCCAAATTGATTTTATATACATTTTATAGTTCATTATGAGTCACTGCATTTATCTTTTATTTTTTGGGATTCAGTAACTCATGCCAACATCTTAAAGACAGTATTATAAGAAATGTTCCTTGCATTAAAACGATAATAAATGAGAAGCACCTAAGAATGAATATAGTCCTGGGCAGACAAATCCAAATAAAATGTTATGCATTTCATTGAGGATTGCAAGAAAGGTACAGGTTTTCAAGAGCTCTCATAAAATCTAAGAAAAATGAAATATACTGTACACCAGAAGTTATTTTACATTTTCAACTGCAGTGTAGTATTAAGCCTTGGGGTGGCTCAAATAATCAAAACAGTCCCTTCCATATCTGACTCTCTGTAGCTTACAGAAACCATCTTTGATTTAAACTTTTCTTTTGAAAGCTATTGTGCAGATTACTTGTGATATTTACAGTCAAATTATGATATCTCTGTTTCAGAGGTTTACTCATTTCTTCTGACATGGGATAATTGAAAAATATAAAGAAAAGCGATGGCAGCATAGTATGCAGAACCTCATTGTTATTGAAACGTCTGTTCCTGTGGATGACTGAATTGACTAATGTAGAAAGTTTTAATGGGCATTCTCAATTTAATTCCTTAGATTAGCATTTATATTAATACTTCTCTGGATGGACTGTTATGACTTGAAAATATGATGCTTACCTGCTGTTAAGAAGGGGCTGGGTAGATTAAGTAGGTGCCTCTCTAATACTGAGTACTATTGTACCATAATTTGCATTTATCAAATCATTTAAAAAAAACACTAATGAAATTATTTATTTTAAAGCCACTATGGGAATAAGACTTTTTTCTTCCCTTTTCCAGCACTAAGGACAAGGGGGAGCCCGATGATCTTTTTCATCTTTTAGTGACCCCATCTACTGTAGTCCCAATACCTACTGATTCCCCATCTGAATAGGAGAGTGAACTGTACCACTGAATTCCGCAAAACTGTAAATGAGTGTGAACAGAAGTAACAGGCTGGAATGTTATTGAACCAGAAATATTTAATTTCACCTAAGAGGTGATTCTTATTAAAAGCTTAGTTGCATTCTAAATGTTAAAAATGAGAAAGGTGAATTTTATTACACAAACCAATAATTCCACAGAAGTGTTTCTTTTGACTGCTGGAGAACATGCATGATTTAATGCGAGATGGAACTAAAACCCCAATAGAATAAGTGTTTCATAGGCTAGAAAGCCTAAATTAATCATAATTTAATGATAGAAGAACACAAAAAAATGAAAAATATTTTTTTTGTAATGATGACACTTTTTATAATGATTTTTCATTATAAAATATATAGCAACAGTGTCTACTTCCTCCCCAACTTGGAATGTATGGTACATTTGCATTCATACAGTCATACAGTCTCATACAGCCACTCAACTGTAAATTAAGAACGATCTTCTCAGTGTAATGTTTCCAAAGATGGGTGTCTTAGTCATGAACAGAATTTTAAAAAAGGCTGTGGAGCAATTATTTAATCAATTCTTGTTTGCTAACATAATAGGTATCAAACAATAAGTTATAATGTAAGATATTACATTGCTCAGGTTTAATTTCTTGATTCAACGATTGATAGAACAATTGATTAATAAAAGTAGAAATTGCCAAACCTGACAAGATAAATGAATGGGGTCATGTTAAATGTCTTAGAAGATCCTTCAGATAGCCTTTCATCTACAATGAAAATAATTGAGAAGGAAAGATTACATTGTGTTTTTATTAGTCACAATGGTGGACAATGAACTTTCTTCTTCGTAACAGTCAACTAAAAGTTCTTCCTAATGTGCCAAAATTTGTAAATGAATATTGAAGCCTAGATTAGGCCATATAAAATAAACATTGGAACTACATGTAGTATACTTCATAACATCAACTGCATCACACGTAGTATTGTTAAATAAGCAGTATATATGGTATCTCCTTTGTAATTATTCTTCTCATGTTGTCAAATGAAATTATTACATAAATATATGTATTCATAGGAATTTGGACAGTGACACAATTTATGCTGTCTTGGCTCTGTACTCCAGCACATTGGAGTACATAATTTAGACGTAAATACCCTCGAAATAAAGCTGACATTCTGTACTTTAACCTCATAGTCATTATTTCATTTCAAATCCAATGTGCTGGAGTACAGAGCCAAAACAGCAAAAAAAAAATGTGTCACTGCGCAAATACTGCACTGTATACATACACTTAATGTAAAATAGGTACAGAGTAAGTAATGATGATTGTAAACATTTGATCCTGACCACGCCTTGTAAAATTTTTAGATGTGTTTGAGGATGTATATCGAGTATTTGGGTATAGTGAGATTTGGCTTAACCCACTTGGCTGAGGGGCCAAGTGACATGAAATAAAGGAACTTGATTCTGACTCCCAACTGGCAAGGTGTGAGCTCCAGGGATTTTCCACACTATTTCCAGTAGATATCTTCCTTTCACTGAGATATTGTTCCTTTTAGCTTCACCAATCCCACTGTGAGATGAGGTATTAAGAGGGCATTTTCAGACCCAGTCAGGAATGGAATGAGGAATTTACAGATGAGACAAAAAAAGAAAAAAAATTACTTTGTAAAAGAAACTGGCTTGGTATCCCAAAATAATGAATACAATAAATACAGTGAGTGTCTATTAGTTTTTGTAGAACTTAGTACAATGAAATTTCTTCCAGTAGCAACACGGGTTTTTGACTTTGGCTTCTATGCTCACAATAGCTGCTTTCCTATTTAGAAGCCTAAGCCAGCTTCCAGAAAAGAATGAGAGCTTCCTTCAGTTTAGGCCCACTTCAGTATTATCTGGCTCTATCCCTTTTTAAAAGGTACATATTCCTTTGGATATTGTATTCCTTTGGATTCTCTGCACAATTAGTGTGCAGAGAAGATGACTACCAATTAATCTGTCCAGATAAAAGATTAATAATAATAGATAAAAAGTACTCATAACAATGCAACATACTGTATAATTGTGTTAGGAATTTTAGTATTTTTGTCTGTTTTGTCTATTGAGACATTTTTATTTAATAAACAGTTTTGTGTTAAAACAATAGCCTTTTGCATGTTAACATGCTCATGTAATTAAGTAAATTAGTGCACATTAATTCTGGCTATAAAACCTTGATATTTATTTAATTCAATATATACTGTAACATGTTAAAAATATAAAATGACTTAGTCTTAAATGAACAATTTCTGTCAATGGAATATATCTTCACAGCTCTGGTAACTTGCTATGTTCAACACACACATGAAAATGTTCAGAATGCAATCTGATCTGAATGATAAAAATGTAATGATCAAATTGAATAATGTTACAAGTGAAGAAGTTTGAATTTCAGCAAAATTGTAAAGAAGATATAAAAAGTGACTGCATTCAGTCTTCAGGCCCCTAAATCAATACTTGGTGAAAGAACGTTTGGCAGCAGTTACTCTTCTCATTTATTTTTTGGATAGGTCTCTACTACCTTTGGACAAATGTGTGATGTAATTATTGTCTGGCAAATTATTGTTTCAATTATTCCCCCTGGCACAAATACTCCACTTTTGACAAGTTTATTGGGGACTCTTAATGGAACCTGCAACCTTAGTCTTTTTTTTCTAACATTGTTCTCTTAAAGTCAAGTCAGGACTTTGTGACTAAATGTCCACTCAAGGACATTTATTCTCTTCATTCTCAAAACACTCCATTCTTGCTTTAGCCTTGCACTTTGTTCTTTCTTTGTCCTAATATATTATATATATAATATATTTTTTACTATTTATTTATTTTTAGATTCTTGGATGACTCAAGCACAATTTCCAGTAGGATTCATTTGTACTTTGCTCAGTTATCTCTCGATTCTAAAATTCTATTAGAATATGATGATGTCCCAACCATGCTTGGTTTAAACATTTGTTGAATTTTTACTTTATATGTACCATTTGCATTTAGACCAAAAACTTCAAATTTCTTTCTTGTCTGATCATAAAACCTTCTTCATGACGCACGTCTGCAGTTTATCTTATATGAGATTTGAATTTTTCACTAATTCACTAATTTCACTTCTTTCCACCTGTTCATACAGACACGGTTTGTATAGAGACCAGAATGAAAAATAGCTTCCATTTTAGACAGAAAATAGTAAAACTTTCAAAGTCGCTTTTGGCTTCACAGCGCCACTTCATAGTGTCTGGAAGGAACGTGATAATTCCACTCCTTAACGATTGACTGCACCATGGTTAAAGGGATAAGTAACAGGATAAGTAACATTCTCCTGATCTTTTTCTCTTTACCACTTCATCCCTTACTTTATTTGAAAGCTCCTTGGTCTTCATGATTGATTTCTTGTATTGCCATGTGAGTTGTGACTTGAAATTCAATAACTGAGGGAACTTACTGTGACAGATGCACTAACTCTGAAGTTGAGCCTTCAGACTATGTTTTTCACCTGATCTGATTTGGGGTAGCTGCAGCAATAGTAGAGAATACATATGCAATTGAGAAAATCTTTTAATTTTCTTTAGATATCTTTATATTAATCAATACACATACAGTACTTTTCAACATTTTTACCTTAGTTAGTTTGGAATACGCTGTTAAGGTTATACTGTAGCTATAAAAAACTATTTTAAAGTGTCATCATTTTAAAGTGCTACATACAGTATGAACCAAATATATGACCTATCCAATATTGTAGGATATCTTCATTATTTTTTCACTCATGTTGAGGATTTTCTTAGGTACAAACATTGTACTTGTGTAGAACCTCACCCAACACTTGTTTAATTGGAGATAAATACAGGTGCATTGTCTTCTTTATTAATGTAACTTTTCCAAAGAACTGCCTATATCTGATACGTTGCATATTATGTTTCTTCTAAATGTCAGTTACTTCTGAATACTGTACAGTGCTTTGCAAAAGTAATAAAACCCTTGCAAGGTTTTGTTGCTTCAAAGTTTACATGATAATTTGAAGTAGCAATTAATTAATTATACACAACCTACTCCACACATTCACAGCAAAAAAAAATCAATGAATGCATAAGTAAACAAACCCTTTGATTTGAAAATTCTCAATTAATTTAGGTGTACAAAACTACCAGGATGAGCCACACAATTATTTCAGTGACTTCTGTAACTGTGCAAAAATAGTGAATAACATGATTAAAAATACCGTAAATACACCTTTCTCTATATGATTCCTTTAGTCAGGTAGTGAATTTCAAACAAAGATTCAAACATGAAGACCAAGGAACTTTCAAATCAACTCAGGGATAAAGTTGTATAAAGGCAAGGTTGGGAGAAGGTTTTTAAACATAATATAAGTATCATCTATTTTATAATATAATTATTATAATTGATATTATATAATTATTATAATTATATACTTATGATAATAATTATAATTATAATATCATAAAATAATTATAATAATACCCATAATATCTCTGGTAAAGCTGATCATTAAGATGTGGAAGGCATCCAGACCCTACCTACTGTATATCAGGCTGCCCCTTCAAACAGCTGTTACACAGTTACAGAAAGTGCCTGAGATGGGAGAAAATGTCTATGGGTCAAACAAATGGGTTAACCAGCAAATTAGATGAGACTTCTTCAAAAGGTCTTCAATTGTTGATAAAGGTGCCTCCATTAAATATTGAGTTAAGCATATTACTTTTTTTTCTCCTTAGTTTTTTCCTGACAATTACTGTAACATACAGTATGTACATAAGAAGTCTGCCTTTTGAGCAGATTCCTAAATTTAGAGACCTAAATCAGTGTTTTGAATAAACTATTCACTTTATTCAAATATATTCACCATTTTGGAGTTTTACAAAATGAAACTCTGGGTTAGCATAATTTTGCAAGGCACTGTAAATTATAGGAAAGTAGTGGAGCAGCAGTCTCTCTGAGCCATCTCTGTCTGTTTGAACTGTGGGTGTACACCTCAGAGAGAGACCATTCAGAGAGAAAATATCCACATAAGGTTGAGACTGAAATCTGCTGCTGCCAGTATTGATATGACTTCTCTTGAAATGGGGAAGAAATACAAGATTTTTGACTAGTCATGCAGTCAGTCTAGTCTAAGGGGTTTCACACCTCTACTTTGCATTAATTAGTCACAGTCACCTCAAGAGATAAATAGTTAATAAGCAGCCTTTTAATTTTGATTTAGGGTTTTGATTTGTTTGATAAAAATGTTGTTTGCAGGGGTGTCAACATGCCATTTATTGTGGTGCTCTTTAGATGATTCCAGATTAATGACAATTTGTCACTTTTGTATTGCAGAAAAAATATTGTGGACCTTTTTAATAATTATATCTTTTTTCTTTTTAATAGGAAGTGCAGGAACCCCTGTCATCTTTAATGAGAATGGGGATGCTCCAGGGCGATATGATATTTTTCAGTATCAAATCACCAACAGGTCAACAGCAGAATACAAGGTTATTGGACACTGGACTGATCAGCTTCACCTGAATGTGAGGACAAAAAGAGTTAATATTTATTTTCATTAATTTAGTGACTGGATTACAAATATTGAATGTCTTCATGGTCATGATAGTAAACCATGGCCTGACATTCAGGATTTTCAATATCTTATGTACTCATGGTCTCATGGTGGCAGTGGGAGCCTTTACTCACTAAAGTTGTAGTATCTTTCTCTTTGAGTTATTAAGACATTTAGCATTCCATTTTTCTGTTTTGTTCTCCTGCTGCAAGCCTGCTGCACTGCATTGATCTGTGCCTAATAAGGACAAAAAAACAATCCATACATTCCCCTGTGCTTGTTACTTCCCCTGTGTAAATAACAGTTTCACCTTAGTGAGGACACAGTAAAACAACACATTTAAAACTATGCATTTGAGACAAAATCAATCAACAATCTTCATTACTGGAAAACAAATAGCAAACATTTATTTGCTTACCTCAAGGTCTTATTCTTTGTTATGTGCCAGTATAAATATTCAGTATATCAACATGTTTTTGAATTTGATAGAAGCAATTGTTTTCCTTTGTACTTGGTAATAATATTGATAATAATAATAATAATAATAATAATAATAATAATAATAATAATAATACACTTTAGTTTATATAGCGTCATTAAGGTGGCTTCTCAAAACACTTTACAGAATGACAACAGCAACAACAATTAAAAATAAACATAAAAAATATACAAGATAAACACAATTAGAATATGCAGGGGAGACAGTAGATGGTGGTACTAAATACAGTAGGAGCAGAGGGGTGAAGAATGGAACCAGTTAAGTAAAGTCTCTTCTGAAGAAGAAGGTTTTGAGTCTGGATTTAGAGTTTAGAGAAGGTGACTCTTTGATATCCTTGGGTAGAGAGTTCCAGAGCTTAGGGGCATAACAGGAGAAGGCCCTGTCACCCATAGAGTGGGGGGACAGTTAGGAGACCAGAACTAGAGGAGTGAAGGGAATGATGGTATGCAGTATAAGGATGTGATGTCCATGGTAAAAGTGAAACATTCTAGGCCCTGAAACTGGAAATCATTAAAAAGTTGGAGAGCATTGTTAGTGTCCTTAATACTCTATATGAAGGAAGCTCTTCAACCAGTGTTCTCATAAGACAAATGTATTTATTAAAATGTTTTTAACAGACATTATTAAGGAACAGCAGATTACCAGGTTGTTAAACAGTTAATGGATTCTGTATTATTCATCAGGTTCGTTAAATCCTATTATTTTAATAAAATGAAAGTATGATTTTCACTAAAATACAGGTAAAAAAGAAATAACAAAATGTGTACGTAAAAAGTATAAGAAAAATTAATGAAGATGACTCATTTGACAGGAATGTGAACATGACTTTTTAACTAGTATAATACTGTATGTTGTGGATGATTATTAGGATTTATTCGGTGAAAACTGATTATGATATACTGCTAAAGTTGTTTGATAGAATTTGTAGAATATGTGCAGTTGTGACTGAAAAAAAATGATTTTGAAAACAAACATTTGTGATAAAGTACCAGATAAATATTTCAATTCTTCCGAAAATGTGTCCTTGAGCAATTTATGAAAATGTCTCTAATGGATTTAGAGAAAGAATTCCACAGATGTGGTGCTTCTCACAAGAAGGAGCCTGGTCTTATGGAAACAAAAAATCCTGGAACTGTGACTTTAATCTGCAAAAAGTACGAGGGAATCCAAGATTAATTTCCTTGCACTCCCAATGGGATTGACAGTATAAAAAGCTGCATTTAAATTGAGAAAGAGAATGATATATTATTGACCTAGAGTCAGAGGCCATCATCAAATCATTAACTACCTTTACAAAGGCTTCTTTAGTACTGTGTCTCTGTTTAATCACCATCTGAAAAGGTTCAAAGAATTAATTAGATGCAAGGTGAGATTGTAATAGAGATGACAACCACCCATTTAAGGATTTTTGTGAGAAAAGGCCATTTGAAAATAGAACTGTAGTTGTTATGTTTTTAGGAGACTTAGCCAAGTTTGTTTTTTCACACAGCTGTGATGACAGTGGATTTTAAACTATTTAAAGGGAAAATTACCATTAAAAATGGTCAAAGTATTGAGAATCTAGGTTTGAATATACCCATAGATACAGTATAAGGTCCGGGGTACAAGTAGTAGTTGTCAATTACCAATGAGAGCTCAGATAAAACCCAATTATTAAAACTAACACAATATACAGTGCTTGCTCAATACAACCATCAGAGAAATAAAAGATCAAGTGTTCTCCTATGTATAATTTCCACAAAATTAAAACAGCAGTCCCTTACTAAAGGTATGAGGTCAGTGATTTTAATGTTAAAATCACTGTAGCATCTATGGTCCTGATCTACTATATAAAGGAGGAAACTCTCTCATTGTGTCAATAGCTTCTACTCTCTCTTCTGTTTTTGTTCTCTTCTGCATCATCTGAATTTCTTCTTGGGGGCAGTTTACAGAGGTTTCAATAGGAATTGGCCTAAAGAGAAACCTTCTAGATATCATAACAGAGAAATACACAATACTGGTAAAAACTGGTTATCTTTTTTAACCATGAGATAAGACAGCTGTTCTCCTGAATATTTGTTGTCATACAGTAAGATATAAACACTAATAGTAGTATACTTTATTTAACAAACGCGTATCATTATGAAATCTATGTAAAATATTTTTATTCCTGTTTGATGATCATTCAGTTATGTAAGGGCTACTACCACATGCCTTTTTCTGATTCATAAATAGGGTTTACTGGCAAGTCTCGAGACTGTGTTTGGAGTCTCTGACACTGCCCTCAAATGGTTTAAGTCTTACCTCACTGATCGCTGTCACTTTGTCTCTCTCAATGGGTACAGGTCTGAAATTGGTCTTGTCAAGTCTGGTGTCCCTCAGGGCTCAATACTGGGCCCCTTGCTCTTCAGCATTTACATGTTCCCACTTGGTCAGCTTTTAAGATCACATGGCCTCAGCTTTCATTTTTACGCTGACGATACTCAAATATACATCCATACCAAACCCGACACTGATGTGGCTGTCTCTATTCTATCTAATTGCATCTCTGACATAAAAATTTGGATGACTCAAAACTTCCTTCATCTTAACTGTGACAAGACTGAAGTCATGCTTATTGGTACCCCCCATCAACTTCGTAAAGCCAGTCCTGTAACCCTGTCTGTAGATGGCTCTGTACTTGAGCTCCAATCAAAATTGAAAAACCTTGGGGTTATATTCGATTCTGGCTTAACATTCGACCCACATGTACAGCATACTGTCAAAACATCTTTTTTTCACCTTAGAATTATCGCAAGACTACGCCCTATGCTATCATTAACTGTGGCTGAAAAGCTGATCAACATATTTGTATTCTCTCGAATTGACTACTGCAATGCTCTGCTCCCTGGGGTATCTAAATCTACTCTGAACAAGCTGCAGTATGTCCAAAATTCAGCAGCCAGAATCCTGACCAGATCTAGTGCAAGTGTTCACATTACTCCTATCCTGGAGTCCTTGCACTGGCTTCTGGTCAAATTCCGCGTAGACTTTAAAATCCTCATGCTCACCTACAAGGCTTTACATGGCTTGGCACCTCAATACCTGTCTGAACTTTTATCGCCCTACTCCCCACCTCGCAACCTCCGCTCTTCAAATTCTGCCCTCCTTACTGTCCCCCAAGCCCGTCTACATTGTATGGGCGACAGGGCCTTCTCCTGCTATGCCCCCAAGCTCTGGAACTCCTTGCCCAAGGATATTAGAGAGTCACCTTCTCTAAACTCCTTCAAATCCAGACTCAAAACCCTCCTTTTCAGAAAAGCCTTTACTTAACTGCTTCCATTCTTCACCCCTCTGCTCTTCTTAATACCATCTTCCACGGTCTCCTCTATTGTTATTGTTGTATTGTTGTAATTATAATTGTGTCCTGTCTTGTGAAATTTTCTTATTTATTGTTGTAGTCTTCTTATTTATTGTTATTGTCATCCTGTAAAGCGCTTTGAGAAGCCACCTTTAAAGGCGCTATATAAAATAAAGTTTATTATTATTATTATAAGTACTTGCACTGACCATTATAGAAGGCAATACAATGGTAATGCCCCTTTGCCTCATTTTATTAATTGAGGTAGTAGTTTGTGGCATAATAATTTTTTAATCAAAATAAATATATATATATATTTATATAGGTTGCAGTGTCAGGGTATTATTATGCTGGAATCTTAGAGTAATTTTCATTTCTAAATGTATGTACAAATCAACCCTGAAAGATATAAAGGTATAAAGGAGATTTATCAAACCTTAAGGTGTTTGATTTGCTGTTCTTCCCAGTGATTATTTCTTTCTGATCATGACACAATAGCAGCTTAACCTCACAACTCACAATTTACTTATATACAGTATTACAGTTAATGACTTTAAATCTCTGTCAGAAGCTGGGAAAAAGAAACAAAGAACAAAGTCTAATGGAATTAAGTCCCATACTTCCTACATTGCCCTGTATTTTCTTACTGCTGAATAACTACAATAAAATGTGGTGTTACTTATTGGGATAAGCCTACAGTATTTTTAATGTCTATATATAATTTTGTTTCTGTTGCTTTCAATGATAGTATTTGACACTTCTCTCATTAGTTTAACAATTAGCTACATTTGACCCTACTCCAAATTATTGATCAGTTTAGTAATAATGCCTGTAATTCTCTGTAACCTAAGAATACCTCATTGGATTACTTAGTCTTAAGTGTTTTATGTGAAATTGGAAAAAAAAATATTTAGTTTTAAGAACATTCTGTTTGATCAGGTGTTGACACTTTTTAAAATTAATAGCTGGATGAGATCCCCCTTAGCTACTAACAATTAAATGAGCTAAATAAACTCCCTTCTCTTGTTAGCAAAGTTTCTAATGTTCTTAAGGTCTACCATAAGTATTGCATATTTCAAGAATATCCCCAATACTATTTTGTTCACAAAAAAGCAGAACTTTGAGCCTCGGGCTCAGAAATACACCACATAGTGTTGCTGTAACCCACTTGTGCTTCTTTATTATGAAACCATCATGCTCACATATACCACTGCATTACTGAAATGTGCTACTAAATAAGTTATTTGCACACACACGTTTTCTTACTTGTATATGCCATTGACATAAATGTGAAGCTAGCTGCAATTGCCTGTGTTTCTGTAGTAAACATAATGTGTATTTAATTATGTGTATATAATTATGGAGACTTGATAATAATTCCCATATCAACCACAATCACCATTTAAGACCATTACAGTCCTGGCTATCCCAAAATGGCTTTAGATGCCCAGAACAATTTCTTAAGTTCATATTTCTTATGGAAATATTGTTTGTTTCTGATTTTCTCATAACAATGGTCTTTTAGGATTGTTATAGTATTTTATTCAATTTAGAATTTAAATAGATTTTAGTGTTTAAAACAACAATAAAACATTGTTTAGTGGGAGATAATGTAATATGATATTATAAGATAACACTACTTGAGTGCTTTTTTATGTACAGTATGTACTGTAGATTGTAATCACCTTATACTGGATTTGAAAACATCAAACCACTTGTTAATTAAAATGGATAGAGATACCATAAATGGAGATATCAGATACAGTACAAGTCTAATTTGTTTATTTTTGTTTTTTTCTCTTCAGCTTGATGCTATGCGGTGGACGAGAGGAGATCCCTCCATACCTGCCTCAGTCTGCAGTGTCCCCTGTAAGCCCGGTGAGCGGAAGAAAATTGTAAAAGGAGTTCCCTGCTGCTGGCACTGTGAACGCTGTGAAGGCTACCATTACCAGGCTAACGAGTTTAGCTGTGAGCTGTGTCCTTATGAACAGAGGCCCAGTGAAAACCGCACAGGCTGTCAACCAATCCCTATCATAAAGCTGGAATGGCACTCACCTTGGGCCATTGTGCCCGTCTTTATTTCAATGCTAGGGATCATTGCCACAACTTTTGTCATTGTGACTTTTGTCCGTTACAATGATACGCCCATTGTAAGGGCTTCTGGCAGGGAACTGAGCTATGTTCTTCTGACTGGGATTTTCTTGTGTTACGCCATAACCTTTTTAATGATTGCAACGCCTGACATGGCAGTTTGTTCTTTCAGGCGCATATTTTTAGGACTTGGGATGTGCTTCAGTTATGCTGCCTTGCTAACTAAGACCAACAGGATTCACCGCATCTTTGAGCAAGGGAAGAAGTCTGTCACTGCACCCAAGTTTATAAGCCCTGCATCACAGTTAGTCATAACCTTCAGTCTCATCTCCTTTCAGCTGTTGGGTGTATTCATCTGGTTTGCTGTTGACCCTCCGCATACTATTGTGGACTTTGGGGAACAGAGAACGCAGGATCCCGAGAATGCCCGAGGGGTTCTCAAATGTGATATTTCAGATCTTTCCCTTATCTGTTCTCTTGGATACAGTATTCTTTTGATGGTTACATGTACTGTTTATGCCATAAAAACAAGAGGTGTTCCAGAGACATTCAATGAAGCCAAGCCAATTGGATTTACTATGTACACAACCTGCATCATTTGGTTAGCTTTTATACCAATATTCTTCGGTACTGCCCAGTCAGCGGAAAGGGTAAGTGCGTTTTAAAATCAATATAATATCCTTGTCCAAAACTGTTGCTTGAATATTTTTGGAAGACCTAAGGACTCCATGTTCCCAAACATTTAAAGAAGGAGGTATTGGGATAGCAGAACATTTCAACACTGCTCTGATTTATACAAAAAGACAGTGTTTACAAAACTGACATTTGAATATCTCACTTTACATTCTGTCCTTGTTTTCTCTAGATGGAAGCATTATTTGAAAGGAATGAGATTCCTAGCTATACACATCAGTACTCAAGCATGTCCTTAAGCCCCACACACATCGTGTTAGTTCATAATGAGGCACAGCAGTGGGACACAGCAAGGTAATTTCATCCATTGTAAACCCTAGAGTAGCTCAATGTGAACTGTACTCTTAAAAAAGCAAGCAGATGGCTATTTGTCAGGGATTAGGTTTATGCTATGGGAGGTGATCCAGAAGTTAGAAGGTTCCAAAAGACTGCTGGTTGATTGTCCCTGATGTACTGTAGTTGAAACCAGTTGACCTAAATGACATCATTTTGAATCTCTCAGCAGTCAGGCACAGTTAACCAGGGCTGGAAATGTGGGCTATTTATAGTGCAGTTATTTATAATGGATAGTATTTATTATCAAGATGAACCATGTTAGAATGAAGACCTTCCAATATTGTAAATAAAAGTCTGATCAAATATTCTATCTTAAAATTATTCATCTTAATAAGTATTTTATACTATATGTGGTAAGTGTCATGGCAATTGGAAGCCTGTCCTTGAAGCACCAGAAAGGGCAGGATTATATCATACTTGTTCATTGTAAAGCACATAAACAAACAGGCACAATTCAAAGATACCGATTATAGTCAGCATGTCTTTGGAAGGTGGAAAAAAAAACAAAGCACCCAGAAAATCCTACAGAAACATCAAGGAAACATGTAAACTCCATGCAGAATTACCATAGTCTGGATTAAAGGCTAGAAGCCAGGAGCTGTGAAATCTGCAGCATTAAGTGACGTGGTATCACATTGCTCTAGATGTATTCACGTTTGTAAAAAAATTGATAAAAAATAATACTGGTGATGCAAAAAAGAAACAGCTTCAAAGATGCTTATTCTTGTCTACCTTACAATTGCCTCTACAAAGAAACTGAGCATAGAAAAATATATTTGTTTTCCTAGCAGTAACCTTTATGTGGAAAATGTATCACATACTGTATATTGCCTTTCAAAAGCCTTTGATACTCAGAATAGGAAATATTTCAGTGCCTCCTAAGTGCTCCTGGTTTTCCATTGGGAAATTATGTTTTGTTTTTTTACAGATGACCACTCATCATTTTTTCTCCTGCTTTTTATTTTTCATTAGTTTTTTAAGAAATAAACAAACTTTTGACTCACAAAAATTAAATTTTGCAAGTTTAAATTTTAATTTTACCAAATTTCATTGTTTTTTTTTCAAAGTTGAAAGCTTTTCATCAGATTTTTATTGTTTATATGATTAATGTTTATAAAATTAACTTGACATTAGATTTAGAATTATGAAACACTGATTCAGACATGATTTACCAAATGAAGAAACAAAACTTTCAGAAAAGTGCCATCCTACCCTTGTCATAAAGTTGGCTCTAAAATTGTGAGTACACAACAATGGACAATATCAAGTTGTCAAAATTTCAAGTTCTGTTATCAATGCTTAATATGAAATTCCACTCTGGAAAATAATTTGCCTTTTGTATGGAATTACCAAATTAAGTATTTTTAGGTAACAGAGGCAACAAATCATTATATTTAAGACACGAATTTAAGACAAAAAAATTTAAGGTTCATGTTCTTACATTCATTCAGAAACCCAGAATTTTTAATTAATGTATTCCATAGGTTAAATATTTTAAAGTGTTTCATTTTTTTAAGTTAACTAATTTACTGATTGAAAGGCTGTAAATACTGTAAAGAACTTCAGATCAAAAGGGCTGTATGAGCAACCGATTAATATACATTCACTTACTTTATTTATGACCCAGAACTCATTAGTATAATTAGCACTAATTCTACTAATTAATAGAAGAATTGGTACCATTACAAACCTTTAGAACAGAGGTGTCCAATCCTGCCCTTGAAGAGTCTGTCTGAGAGTTTAAATTTCAGCCCAACTCTTACTGCAAGCTAAATGGTTTCTGGCTTAGCTGGACAAACACCTTATTCCAGTTCCTCTTCAGGTGCTGATAGGTGACACACTTGTCCTCCAGGTCCAGGATTGAAGACATAAACATAAAGCAGGGGTTATAAAATGTCAAGGTTTTGTTGTGTGTTTTGATTTAAGGAGCTATTTTATGTCAGACTGTACTGAATTTGCATATATTTATACTGTACACATGCCAAAATTCTTTAGTTTAACCCTTAATATATTAGCATTTATTTTTACTGTCATGGATGTACTGTATAAGATAAAACATTATTTTGCATCTCTAAACTGATAGAGCACTTTTTGTTTTTATATAAACAGAAAACGTATTAAAAGCTGTGTCAAGGAGAAACTGCACAAAGCAATCACCCTAGCCAAACCTGCTAAGGGATTTTTTTTTAAATGCAGTTGTTGTGTCATTTCACTCCAACAGCAAGGGATCTGATCTTGGATATGGTAAGATAAAGAAAGCTTTTGGTTTAGGAGAGCACATGTAGTCAGTTGCATCAAGACCCTAAGCAAGAAATACACTGTATCACTGGAGAATTATATTGATAACTATTTGTGAAAAAGTGCTGACATGCTCTATCCCATGAGTTTTTTCCTTTGGCGTGGAGAAAAAATGCACCTGCAGATGAACCTCAACACCTGTATAAAATAATAAAAAAAGAATAAAAGGCTCGCTGAAATTCTGATTTCATATCTCCAACACACAAATTAATAACCGGCCTGTTGACAATCCCAATACAGCATTAAATGTACAGTACTTAGTGATGACTAAGTATACAGTATCAACTACATTCAAATAGAAATTGAGATTTTATTATAATTCAATTTGTTTAAAAACCATGTGTTTTGAGATTTCTGTAAAATGTAATTAATCTTGCAGACTGATTAAATGATCATTTAGATAAATCAGATTAAATTCAATTAATCTCTGGATTAATTATATATACTGTACAAAATACTCTATATAAATATAGCATATTCCTTTCTTGCTCTGACTCAAGAATAAGAGTATGGTAAGTCATAAGTGGTTTCACACACTCCGATGAACAATAATTTTGGCCTACCTAATGTTAGTTACATAAACACCATGCATAACTATTGTTAGTTTTGTTCTTTGAAACCAGCTCGTTAATTTGAAATTAGCCTATACAAATGCAACATGTATTTCTAATACAGATCTTCACAATATGTGCAACATGTTTTGTAGGTACTGTATATGGATTATCGAACTTCTTAATCAATTACTTTACCCTACTGAATTTATAAGGTGAAGTCCATGTATTTGTTGGTAGAATAAAGGAGTAGATTGTTCACTGCGTGAATATTAATGTCAATCCTGCTGGATCAAAAAATCAGTTATGCAGTTCTGGCCCACTTTGCCAAATTATTTTGTTGTGTTTGATTTTATTTCTTTTATAATGCAATTAAGGTTTTACAGTGGCTTTATATTCAATAAATTTAAACATATGTTAAACAAAACTAAATTGTCACAAATGAGACATTGTGTTGCTTAAATTCTTAGTAGTGGTATGCAACTGACAAAGGGCATATCCATACAAGTTAGTCACACTGCAATGTGAGATAATCTTGATTACAGATGTGCCTATAGAACAAGACATTTCAGCATTGTGGTTCACTTAGTAAAGAACGTTATTTAGACCATCAGAAGATGCAAATACTGATCAATGGATACATCATAAATGATACATCAGGGGTTGATAAACCTATACAATGCTACATACAGTATTCATACTGTAAGTTCCACTGGACATTATTCTTTTGTTTTATTCTATTATTCATTATTCTATTCTGTTGTGTGATTTTGATATGACTTCTCCCTGTAAATGTTTTTTTTTCCCCAATCATTACTCTTACTGTATATACAATTGCTTTAATGCCCATTTTACACTTTAAGAATCATGCTGGACTCATGTCAGTGTATATAATACCTTTCTGATATTAATCTACATCACTTACCTTGGAAGTCTTTTGAATGCAAAACTTAGATCTGACTTCCTTCTTTCAACACTTTAAATACTTTTTATTGACCACATAGCAAATACATCTCTTTGGTGGCATAAAAATGTTAAAAATAAAATATTCTTCTTTAAAATCCTGATTGAATTTGATTTTAACTCATTATGACAGAATTATAATTTTAAACTTAATTGCTGTGTTAAGTTGTTTAGACGTTTTAGACATAGAATTGCTCTACTACTTTCCACTGAGAGCTTTTCCTGCTTAAAGCAGAAACACAATTGAGAAGTGAACTGTTACTGAAATTTTAGACATTTTATTTTAAGCAAACAGTTAACCCTTATAAATCTGCATGTTGCAAAAATAACTTTTTACCTATATGTAAGTTTAGGAACGTATGTATAGGAAAAAATATATGTATGTGTGAGTACAATTTTGTTAATGACACGGAACAACTTTATGTGAAATACATTTCAATGGAAAATGCCATTTGCTGCTACAACACTTCAGACTGGCTGCTCAATTATAGGGTACATTGAGATATAATGTTCCAGTGCTTGAATATTTTGATCAATGTAAATTAAAGATGGATAAATGACAAGCTTGGTTTCTTTTCATCCAAACTGAATTAATTACAGTCACAGTTGTTACAATAATATACTGTAAAACTGTGATTGTGGCATTGAGAAAATTGAGAATGCTCATTAAATATATACTGTATATTTGGAATTCCTGAATACTGTATGTTTAAGAAGCCAAATGCTATTCCAGAGCAATGTTTGTCTCTCATAACTCCACATTCATACCTTCTAAATAATAATCACTATTTTAAAAAAAAATAATTTCATAATTAAAGAAAATTTGTGCCTTTAGTACAAGTATTTTGTCCATGACTGCTTCTTGACAGGCATTAATATGGGCATATTAGGACAAAAGATGTGCAGAGTACTCTTAAATAACATATTTCATTATTTTTTCACATTTATTATCCTGTCAGACTGTAACAGCTACTATATGTACAGGTTCTTGAAAGTAACTGGCATAAAGTACTGGCCCCTTTCAAAAAATGGTAATCCAAGGTTATAGCTCAAGTGTGCAAATAATCAGCTTTTTGCCTATTATTTGTTTTTGCTAAAATGAAAGAAGATTTGTTTTCTAAAAAAGTTAACATAATTAACCTTGAGATTACTAAGCTGCATGTGTAAAGGTTTACCTTTTGGTTGAGAGTATTTAGTTATACTATTGGACTTCAAACACTAACACAAGTGCTGCTGTGATGTTAATAATTAGGTGTTTTAAATATTTTATATATTTACAATATCATAACAAGCCTATTGTCATGAGTGAATTAAATCCAACACCATTGCTATAGGCAGTTATTCCTCTTGCAGTTTTAGTCCACATTAGTCTTTAAATATAAAGATTTTATGCATAGTTAAGGAGATTTTATGTATAGTAAATATTAGTAAAAAAATACCTAATTCCTTAGGTATTATTTAAATATTGCTGTCCTTTATTTAGGTAACACCTTTGGAAGTTAGAAGTTGTAAAATCTATTAAATGTATATGTAAAAAAGAAATATTGGAAACAACGTCAATTACTCAATACATGAAAATTCAATAAAAGGTTTGAAGCATGTGGATATGTGAAGCAGGAGGTCTAACTCATCATACAATGCAGATGTCAAATGGTTTGTTATCTTTATATACAGCATGTCTTTTCTAACATGAAAAGGCACCAACAACAGAACCTAGTGTATTGTCACTCTTATTCCATTCATTTTGAATGCCTACAGTCTACACATCATTGTACCTTCAATGTGTTGATGATAATATTTGCATTTCAAATTAAAATTTCATCTGAGATCATATATTATTAAATCTATATAATTTGTAAAATGAATTTACATAAAAATAGAAAACATTATTCTCATTTGCCTAAATGTATGATACAATAGTCACATTTTTGCATACAATATTTCCCTTCTCATACCAGGAATGTATTAATGATGGCATGATAAATGAATGATCTCCATTTGTGAACATTAATTCTTAAAAAAACAAACTTTTGCAAATATATACTTTATGAAATTACACATTTTAGTGTGTGCGTGACTAATATGCACTAGTTCTACAGCTTCTTTAATTTATTCATATTTAAATTTTTTATCATGTAAAAAAAATCCTCAGAGACCCACAGAAAATATGAAAATGTACCTCATTACCAAGAGAATAATACATCTGAGAGGATCACATATCAGGCTGTCTTTTGACATTATGCTTGGGCATTAAACATTATTTTGAAATTTTCTACTCTTGGGATGATTTCACACTGATTGCTAGAACAGAAAATAAGTGCTTGGGACTTCAACTATAAATCAAACAGTGATATTAATCTTGCTAATTTACACAGATAACTCCTACTTATACGGTAGATGTTAAAAAGCAATACATCAGCAAACTGGTCTTTTTAATGTTACATTGTAAATATAAACTTTCTTGTCTCCTAGCAACCACTGTAGATGTTGGAAAATAAATCCCTGTCAGAATATTCATCTACTTTAAAGCACTCACAAGGAGAGAAAAATGAAATCCCTTTTTGTTAATGGGACCTTAAATGTTTAGTATAAATAATTGATATTTACTTTGTATTGAACCTTTACCCTTTAAGTTCATGGTAACAAACGGTTATAAATAGCAGGCTGTTCGTGTAGGATTAATAGTGATGAGCTGCCAAGTAAAATAAATTGGAGGTGGAAATAAATTGAATAAATAAGGTAAAATGAAAAATTAAAAAGGAGATCCTGACACCAGCTTTCCTAGCAAGAATATGTATAAACCCTAAACAATATAAACCCGACTAGTCAAGGAACATGGAGTGTAGTCACGTGGCATCTTTGTTCCTGGCACAGTGTAGTTTCAGAGTAACAGAACAGGACACAAACATCTGTTTAAAAAAAACTAATGAACAAAACACACAGACTACTA